CCCGCGCCGCACTTGCCGTACTACACTACAGGACGAGCACTTAATCAACATGCATTGCGTGGATGCTTTGCAGTAACTGAAAGCACCGAAAGCCAACGTCGTAGCTTGCAACTCTGGGCTCGTGAAACTGCCGCGGAAGATGAAGCGCTGGCGAAGAGGCAGTTGTATGCAGCACCTTGTTCAGAGTAAAGTCAAATTACAAAGTTGCGCAAAGTATAACATACATAAACTTAATTAAACATAAGAACAGATAAGACGTTTAGAGCCTTGTCGGTGACATGGACGCCGCTGTTGGCTTGGAACAGCTATTTGCTGTGCATAGGGACGTGCCCGCGTTAGCCGTGTTGCAACAGCTCAGGATGGATTTCAGCCAGCAACAGCCTCAAGAGCTGCTGCACAACCACCGGGAATGTCTTCAGTTGGGCACGTGTAGTTTTGGTCGGCGGGGTCGAGCAACGTACGCAATGTGCACAGAAACCAAGGTGCAGCGTTCTGTAACATCGCCAACATATCCGGTACGCGGTGGCAGGCTTGCCGAGCACGAAATGAAGGGGGGGTCGCATCTCACCATTCAACTAAGCATGCATGTGCTCGGTTGAATGCTCGGTAGCGTGCGAGTTTACCCCTATCAGGATGTTTGTTTGCATATCCCTCCAAGCGAGAGGGCTTGGACCTATGCTGATGTTCGTTCCAAGAAGTGAACTGAGGACTGATGCTACGGTGAAAGAGTTGCACGTAAATTCGCCCGTGCAATAAAACGCCCTGTAACTCGCTTACGCTAATCTCACATTCCAATATGCCACTGCACTTTCCTCTCCAGCCTGGCCACATTCTCTTCCTCGCAAACGTACTTGGGCACCTTACAATCCAACACCATACGTGCTTTGGAAACGCGGGCAGCTGCTTCACAAGGACCCCCCTATTTAACATGTTTGTCTCCTGTAAGATTCTAGCGGCTTTGGCATGGACAGCCCATTTTTGGCTGGAGGAATGAACTTGTACGGTCGGAACATTATTTATTCTTAATTTCCAGGACCGCGAACATTTTTTTATTCCGAATTCGGAAATTATTCCGCAAAAAAAACACTGTGCTACACGTCATGTATACGCGTTGCTTAGCTTGCAATGTGACGCGCCCACGATGAAAGATATGCACGTAAATCGCCCGTGCGATGAACGCCTTGTAACCCTTCAACTACACTCACAATCTACCGCTGCACTATTCTCTCTACTCCTGCCACATTATGTTTCACCGACGTACTTCGGCACCTTCCAAATCTATAACGCGGTCAGCTGCTTCACCAGGGCCCCCATATTTGCGTTTTTGACGTTTTTGTGTTACAAGCTTCGAGCTTGTACGGTCCAAACGAGCCAAGAGGCTCATGAACCGCCGAACTGGAAACAAGAACATATAAAGGTAGTAAATTAACCTTACTGTAAAAACATATTTAATCACCAATAAATTGTAACCTGCATCTTCTGATATGATCCAAAACATTTGCTAGTCCGCGTTGGTTCTCAACGCCCATAACGTCTATCATGCGGTCCCCAGGAGACACTCCAAGCTCAAATAGCTTAATGCGAATATCCGCGTACGCAGGGCACTCAAGCAAAACATGACGCTCGTCCTCAACTGCTTGACGGTTCCCACATACACGATGTAACGCCGCAATGGCGGCCCTCGGCTCACCGGTCCAACGGTATCGTACCAACGGTACATCCAAGAACTATTCATAATCTTCCAATACCAAACGGTATTTATCAATACCACCTTTTATCGTTGGATAATTTCCTTTTTCGCAACTGCTTGCCAACTGCAAGCTTTGTTATAATTTTGGTATCTTAGACCAACCGGTCAAACGACCTCGGAGTCAAGCACTCCATCGCTTCCGCAAACACATTCCAACTTAAGAAACATTTTCTATCTGACTTACATGGCGAGCCCAGGGAATACCATGCGCACCCAGTCGGCGAAGGCCGACCATGAGCGCTATCAGCTGCGCCAGGTGAGCCCCTCTAGGGCAAAGAAGCTGGTACAAAAGGTCCAGGAAATGTATGAGAAGTACGTAAGGCGTGCCCAGCGTAAGGGCATAACACCGCCGTCGCGCATGTTTGACAAAGTCAGACAATTCTGCGACAAGCAAGACTATCGCTCCGCACTAGGCTTCCTAATGGAAGCTAATGAGGAACTCTCCTATGCGCAGAAAAGCCGCGAACGACACCACCGCTGATCTTTCCCTGCCATGAGGACGATTCACTGCAAGCGGCCACACACACACACATCCAGAAACGCATCAGCGTGACATATTTGCGAGCATTTAAGTCTGTATTGCACGGCTGGCCGTACAGTTCGCAGTCCCGCACGCAATTCGCAGTCACTCGCGTTAAATTCAAATGGTAGCACTTAGGTTTGCGAAAATGCTGCGAATGCATTTGCGAAAGTCAAAAACGCACATGCATTCGCGTATGCATTCGCAATCCCTTGCGTTTGGCGATACGCTGGCGTTAAAAGTAAATTGGCAGTGCTAAGGTTTGCGAAAATGCTGCGAATGCATACGCTATAGCCACAAACGCACATGCATTCGCAAGATTCGCAGTCGCGTATGCCATTCGCAATCCCTCGCGTTATACGCTCGCGTTAAAAGTCACCTGGTCGCGTTTAGGGTCGCGTAAAACTCGCGATATCATTCGCCACATTCGCATATGCATACGCATTCGCACCATTCGCATCCGCGTATGCCATTCGCAGGCGTTTGCGTTACACCTATAGGTAAGCTAACGCTCGCGTTAAAAGTCACCTGGTCGCGTTTACGATCGCGTAAAGTTTGCGTTAGTTGCTTAAGCTAACGCACTGCCAGCCAAAATTTATCAGCTCGTTCGCATGCGTATAAAGATGAAGTGCGTTGGCCATACGCACAAGTGAACCGGTGCGTTCAGCTATGGAGCCCGGTGCGTTATCAGTGCTTAAAATCGTGATATATCGCGTATGCGTCGCGTTAAACTCGCGTTAAAGCCTCGTAACGCGGCCTCGTAACGCGAATTTAACGCGACGTAACGCGATCACCCGTCGTCATAGTGGAAGTAGCGGTGCAACCATGGTGCAACCACTTCTTTCTGTGCACATGCATTGCCTGCCCAGTGGTGCTATGCATACATGTGCATGCTTGCTCATCGTGCACACACCGTACACACTCAACCATGTCGTAGTGTTGTGAAACTCATTGAACATCACGCTCATGCGTGTGCGTGCATAGCCGTGCGCACATACACCGGCTGACACTGATGTATCTGTATGCGGTCAAGCTTAAGCCATGCTATGCAATGATACATATATGCCATCAGGAGTTTGGCGCCTCCGACATGGGGCAGCATGCAAAGTCAATGCTGGTGATCTGGTACAGGATGGTGGGACCATAGAACAGATCCCGAGGCCTACTGCACCCACTAGCCGCCTTATTGAAAGTCAGGCACACCGACAGCCCATTGTCCGGTAAGCTCTGGAACAACGTATCAATGCGTTTAATCGTTAGCACGCCGTACACAGCACCATCATAGGAGACTGTCTGGAAGGAATACTGTGACACAATGCCATTGACGGTTAATGCCGTGATGGGCCTGGGCGTCTGTTGTGCGCACCTTGCATCTACAAAAAGGCAATAATTGTGCATCGAGGAGACGCGGGAGGTGCAAACTCTTAGACACGGTCTGTGGACATGTGCTTATTGTGCTGTGAGCGAGCGAACAGCATCTTAAGCATATGACAGTCAATGGAGGGGATGAGGCCGAAAGAACTGATTGGAAGGACCAGTCCCAGGAAGAAACTAACGAATTGCAGGGAAATACAAATATAGAAACGTGCGGCAATACAAATGGTGAACAACGAGGCACATCATCGACATCTTGCATTACTATGCTGCAGAGTCCTGTGAGCTGACCAGGAATCGAGTTGAGCCGCCGTTGATCCGGCAGGTTCCGTTGGATGCCGGTGGTGGGTGCTGAACCTGAGCGACCCACTGAGAAGTCGGCTAGGGTGACTAGATGAGGGTGCCCCAAAATACCGGGGAAGGCAGGGTCTGCCGGGTAGCGGCCGCAGTGCCGGGTAGCGGCCCCCCTGTCTCACACACATCACACATCAACAGACAGTCATCTGCAAACGCACAACTCGTTTTTGGTATTTGTTCGTAACATACATTATTGGCAGTGGAAAGGCCACCACGTACGTGTACTGACAGCTCAGGGACAGTGACATGCACCCAGATGTCGGTAAAGTTTTCATGGTCTTTAGACAAGGTTGTCGTACAATAGATAGGACCGCCAATGTATGGTATAGAAGGGCATATAGGTTATGCTATGCTGTAACAAATACGTCTTACATAAAATTAGATGGTCTATGGACACTCCTCAATTTTACGGACGGACATCACATAAGGGCATCCGGCTAGCTTGTTAGTTTGTTATCACTTACTCACAACCATGTCCACTCTGCGTACGGTATCCATGCCCGCGCACTCAGCATTAGGGCTAACTAGTGAGGCGTTGCTGCTGATGAGGAGGCAGTAGGTGGCGGTGCTGGAGGTGACATTGGAAGGCCCCAGGGGTGCAGACAAGCGCACCGGGGCCTGCGTGGCGTCGCGTCCCAGAACGCAGTCGCTGCGGAAGGGGAAGGAGCTCACAAGCATTGTGTTGCTTGGTGCGGGACCTGGTGCGGGACCTGGTGTGGGACTTGGTGCGGGACTTGGTGCGGGGCTAGGAGAAGGAGGCGAACGCAGACGCTTGGGCGCGAAAGGTGATGGTATGGGGGATGGAGGGGTGGGGGGTGGGAAAAGGGTTGCAAAGCTGAAGGAGGAGACTGTACTCAAATAGGTTGTATCCATGAAGCTGATAGATACGACACCCGAGGCAGGGGAGGTGGCACTAGGGGTCCAGCTGAAGGTCACTGTTACGGGTGCAACACCGCTGCTGGGTGTGGTTTTGAGGGTGGCTCCAGACGGCAAAGTGCTGCTTGAGGCTGTGATTACATCACCAGCATCGGGGTCCGTCACTGTAAACACCACCTGCATATACACACGTGTTAAGCAATGCATGTAAGGAGTACCGAAACGTGAGGTACCACAAGGTGCCATCACCACACAAGACTCCTCTTACAAACCCCACATGCCCTCACCACCAGATTCGCACGCCCCCAACAACCCTCTTGTGTTCAACAAACCCTAAATTCCCCTATAACCATAGCAAGATGTGGCTGCACCGTCAGTGTATGTGGATATGGCACACGCATCACAGCCACACAAATAACGATAACAACAGTGCTTTCTGTAAGAGTCACTGCATGCCATGTTTATGCGTCTTTAAGTGTTCTATCCGCAAACATAGGACAAAAAAACAATTATCCAAACGGGCAACATGCATGCATCGCACCGTGACAGGTACCCCCACATAGACGATGATATCTCCGCCGCTTTGCGGCAGCACCTGACCAGTCTCCGAAACAGTGATTGAGGAGAGCACAGGCTGGCGGCCCAAGTCCGCCAACATCTGCACATACGCAAACAGCGTGTGATAATCGTGAATACAGCGGCAGGCAGGAAGGAGTGGAAGTAAGACGGCAGTGCTAGCTTAATTTGTTGCCATGCTAGTGCTTCTACTGATACAACATATGCTATGCTGCCTGCAGCTGCGTTTTGGGACCATGAATAGACAGTAATGGATGAGTGGATGCGTGATGTGGATTTGCGACCCACTGCCCAAGGGTAGGAGGAGGTGGGCGCAGGCTTCTGCTGGTGTGTGGCCGGGACCTGAGAGGGCCTCAGACGGCCCCCTCCAGAAGGGGCAGTGTCGTAGCTGTCGTACAGTACGGCACACACCATCAATACATATACCCACTAGAGCATGAAGCGTGTCAGGGGCCGCCCGCCCTGTAGGATTGCCCCCACACCGTGTGGCCGTGTGGCTGTAAGGACCAAACATAATACCTCGCCCCGCTAAAGTGCAATATCTAAAGCCGTTAACACTCCATATTGTATGGCATTTCGCCTGTAGCTGACAAACATCGTATGTGTAAGGTTTTTAAGTTGGTTGTTAAGTAGTTAGCACGCCACCCGAAAGTGCGCCTTGATGAAGCGCGCAAAGAGATGATCATCTCGTCATGATGTACGATGTTTGGGCGCCGTCTCTGATTCGGGTCGCTATATAGCCCAAAGTCAAGCGTTCGGGCTGATTTTTTGCAAACAGCCCCCAAATACCCTCACAAGGCCACGGCCCCAAGCGTGCGTCCAGATTCCGACATCACCCAACCCAGGTTCCAGTGCCCGAGTGTCACCAGACCCCGCCCGTGCAGCTGTCAGGCGCCCTAGCGCCCCGTTGATGCGACGGTTTTGTGGATGAATTTAAATTATACCTCTGTCACTAGCTGGCGGGAGTTCGCGCCCTCAGGCCTATCATCCTCATCAATGTCCGAACCCTCACCCGATGATGCATCTTCCTCACCCACGGCATTCACATCGTCATGTATACGATTAGTATAGATATACTCCTCTACGGGACCTTCGTCTTGATTAGGCTGCATGTGGAGCAAGGGCACATGTTCTTTGGTGGCGGCGTTTTCCGCAGTTTCTTTCTGTGCCTTCGCTACTATTTCTGTCTTCTTAAGGGCAGGTTTTGTTTTCGATGGCTTCTGGGCTACGGGCAAGTAATTGTTGATACAGCTATACATGACAGCACAATTACGGCCCAGTATACTTGAATAACATTTCTTTATACTGGAGGACAGCACCGGGGTATGGATTACAGAGAAGGAACGGTTCGGGGAGTACATTTTGAACTGTCGTTCATCATTACACCTAATAAGCTTGCAGCTTTTACAGCATCAGAACGTTTTCGAGCATGCTGAAAAAGAACCAAACAAGATTGCAAATTGTTGCGATTTTGACGGGGAGGGTTTACGTTCCACAAGACAGCCGGGGTCCTGGCTCGAAGTGAGGCCCACCCTGGAGTTAGTTGGTACCGCTTTCATGTACTTCTTCAAACAAACTGCTTCTCTAGTATTGTGATGTTGTATTTGTTCTATTCATGAAAACTGAGCTGAAGTTGCAAGGCGCGGCCGCAGTTGCCGGTGCCATGCAAGCGCAACCGCCCCGGGACACAGCCTCAGGCATAGAAATCGACTCATAGGGTTACAAAAAACCTAGCTGTCAACGGAAATGAACAAAGCCATGGAATCTGTCCTGGACCCGAGCCATCTGCTTGCTTTGCGAAGACCACGCGTCGCGCGCCGCAATGCCAGCAAAGTTTGCCATCGCCACAAAACAGCAAAGCAAAGCGCACGTTGGTCAAACAAAAGCAGGCCCGGATGACGTCTGCTTGCATACACACAACGGGGCAGTGGGCCTGGCTGATTCCGTTCAGCTGGAAGAGGAGGACGAGTACTGCATTATTGTGGAGTAGTCCTGCAGCGGTGTGGATGTTTGGTAGCTGCGTTGAGACGTTAGCCCCATTGTGTTTTTAGAAACTGAGCCACGAGCGAGGGTGTTGACCGGCGAACCGTTAACCCCGTTGTGTGTATGCAAGCAGACATCGCAACATCCGGGCCTGCTTTTGTTTGACCAACGTGCGCTTTGCTTTGCTGTTTTGTGGCGATGGCAACCTTTGCTGGCATTGCAGCGCACGACGCGTGGTCCTCACGATGCAAGCAGATGGCTCGGGTCCTGGACAGATTCCATGGCTTTGTTCATTTCCATTGACAGCTAGGTTTTATGTAACCCTATGAGTCGATTTCTAGGCCTGAGGCTGTGTCCCGGGGCGGTTGCGCTTGCATGGCACCGGCAATTGCGGTCGCGCCTTGCAACTCCAGCTCAGTTTGCATGAATATAACAAATACAACATCACAGTACTGGAGAAGCAGTTTGTTGAGGAAGTACATGAAAGCGGTACCAACTAACTCCAGGGTGGGCCTCACTTCGAGCCAGGACCCCCAAACCGGCGTGCGGGCGTTCCCTGTGTGAGGCCTTGCGCCCCTGTGTGAGGCCTTGCGCTGTTCGCTTTGGGGTCCCTGTTCCATGACTCTCACGTGCACGGGGACCCATCCATAGCTCAGAAACGGAGCCCATTCTATATCAGTATGAGTACAAACAAGTTTACCATGCTCCACGGACCGAGGTCGAGGTCATATTAACGTTTCCCGTGCTATGTTTTGGTCCCGGACCAAAACATAGCGGACTCCCTTAACAAGAAACACGGCATCGTATGGGCCATACAATGCCGTGTTTCTTGTTAAGGGAACATGCAGTTGAGGATGTCATGCGAATTGAAAGCAAATATTCGTCCCCATGATAACAACAATACAAGTTGAATTAGGGAGCTCTTTGGGGTCTCGCTGAAGGAAAGCGAGACCGGTGACATGACAAACACGACTTTGTTCGGGTCGAGTTTCTTCTCGTTCGTCAACCCTAGCAAGTTACTGATGTAAAAGAGATAAAGGCTGTTGTGTTGGAATTGCGAGATGCGCACTGGGGAAGGTGGTTGGTCCGCTCCAGGGAGGCTTCATGTCTCAGCCAGGTGGCTAGTGTAACCATCTCGCACCTAGTGTAGCCATCTCTCCATCCCATTGCGAGATGCTTGTTATGCTGACGGCCTCACGCTTCAAGATTTGATTACCTTTTCCCTCGAGGGGCCGCTCCAAAGCACCATGGCCTAGCGTCACGTTAGGTGTTCATTTCACACGCTAGGTGTTCATTCCACCGGCCGGCGCTTTGGTGATCGCATGTTTCCATGCCTCCGCAATGTGTTCAGTAAGCTGATATTCCTGGAGCCCTCTGGAGACTCTCGGAGGTGATGTCCAGGCCTGGCCGCCGTATTGCTGGCATGCATGCACCCGGTAACTAACATCACCCTCGTGTGTGTCACTGCTGATTCCCCTTCAAGTGACGGTTGGAGTCTCCAATCCCTATTGGGTCAGTGACCGACGTGCATGAATTTCGACCGATTATTTTCCCGACTGCTCTTGTAAAGTCGGCTTATGGATGCGCTTGCTAAGTGCGTTGGCTTCCCTGACCACTCTATGCACAGACAGCCCAGCAGTTTGTGCTGAACTCTCTGTCTCTTCAGATGTTCGGGTGAATGGATGAGGAAGAATCCTTGGAGGCAGGATCAACCGCCTTGGATTTTCAGTTCGTATGGTGTAGCACAGTGTGGTAATGGTGAATGGTGCTGTATGGTGATTAATCGTAGAAATGACAATGTGGTTAAGAGGCCCAGAAGCCTCCCACTCTGTAACAACAACATACACATGTGCACACATGAAACTACACAAACAAACGTGTGCACAGATATGCATGCACAACGCACCAGAAGGAAGGTGATGTCACTGTATTGGCCCGTGGACAGTTCAGATAACCGAAGTCCAACAGCAGTCATGTCACCATAATTGTAGCCGAAGTTGCGCCATCCAAGACTGCCGTGTCCGCCGTAACATCATAACACCGGCGTGACCAAGAAGTAGGCATCAGTTCTTAGAAAGGGTGCAGGCAGAGGGTTGCAGAGATGGGGGATTGGGGGCAGGTACTGGTCAGGCGGGATGGGGAATAGGGTTGACGACGTCAGGATGGGATGTGGGGCCCAGGGCGAGGATTAGGGATTAGGCGTGCTACACTACTTTTGGGATGGGGATTGCTGTCGGGGGTGAGGATGGGGATGGGATCCCTGTCTGAGGGATGGGGATTGCAACCTTGACCAAGGAGGGGATTGGGAGCCCTGGCCAGGGATGGGGATGGGACCCTGGTCGACAGGACGGGGATTGCAGGCTTTCGCAAGTTTAGGATGAGGTCGCTGCCATAGGATTGGGAACACAGTTGGAGGATTAGAATTGGGTGTTCTGCTGTAAAATGAGGCTGCAGGTGCAGAACTTGGAAACTGACAGGACTGCAAA